TATTTTATGGCTCAAGAGTAGGAGGTGTCCATAAATAGATATTTGGCTATAAAAAATCAAAAAGTAATTATGGAATATAATTTTTTAAAAGGTATTTATTTAAAATAAATAAGGTATCAGCCTTTGTTATAGGAGGTAACTAATCCTATGAAATACTACACTATAAAAGATAAAGAGGATGTTTGGCTAAGCTTATAAGTTGGTCAAACTAGCTTATAAGCACTTTTCGACTTATTTACATATTTGGTAAAATTAAAATTGTTTGTAAGTCAAAAATAAGCCAAAAGCCATAAGCTAGTCACCCTCAGCTTATGAATTTTTAACTTATAAGCATTTTAAGTTTGACCAAGATTTTTACTATTTTATCCTTAAAATATTTCTTTTTAAAACAAAACTCCTACATCGATACTCACTGCCTCAACCTAACCCCTCCCCCCTCCCAACATCTTCAACTCTTCAATTCTCACTTACTATTTAAGATAAGCAAATTCTCTATTCCTTTGCATACTTATATCTACGTGATCGTGTATTAATCTTTGAACGATATGTAATAAATGAGGAAACATCAAAATTTTTGTGTATTGCTTTCTAAATGTTGTGGTGATGAAGATAATGTTTTTCTCTTCAATTAATTTGTTCTATTTAGGTTTATTTTTTACTAAGAGACTTTTATCAATTTATTAATTATTATAACTTATGATTATATGCTTATCATATAATAAATTTTATTTTTCATAAAAATTATCTTATCTAAGCACAATTATATTTAAAATAAAATGGCAAATAGAATATTTTGTATTTGAAACGATCTGGAATCTAAAATTTTGAAAAAATTACACACCTATAAATGTAAATAATTCTTAGGTTATTTAAGTCATTTTAACAGAAAAAGAGCTTATCAACATTTTTTTAATCAAATATTGCAACAACTTATTGTAAATTTCAGTACTTGTACCCAAACACGTAATTGTTTATTTATTAAATCAGTTTCAACACGTAAAAATGCTTTTCGACACATAATATTTGTTAGCTACTTTAAATCAGCTAATCCAAACCGGCTCAAACAGCTATCAAGATGTTTCAAAAAAATATTGTGTATATTTTATTTTCACCTTAGAGGTGCACCATCTAAATAAGAATGATGCATGTGTGACAGTGAGATAATTTTGAATACAACTATGGATTAGGATTGCTGTTGTTAAAGATGAATTACATTCCAATCCGGACTATGCTATTAAGGATAAACTGATAAATCAATATGTTTAACACAAGTTTCATATATATATTTTATTTTACTTTATGTTATTATCAAAGTCACTAGAGGAAGGGACTGATTGAACTAATTCAACCATTCAATATAAATGATGTTTATTTAAACAGTGACTTGTGATCTACAAATTAGTACTACTGATTAATAAATATTGCAAACTTTTCCAACACTAACTACCTAATAAGAGTATTAAATTGCAAATTAGTTGTTTAGTCCGTATTGCACAGTGCTAGGGCTCAAACTTGTGATCTTAAGTCACAGATTCTCCCAAAATCTTGCCACTTAGAACTAAATTGCAAATTAGCTTTACAACGAGCAAAGCAAATTATTGGAAGGGATAAAATACAGAACAAGCCAGAACCTAAATTATGCTTAAAAAATTAAAAATTAAAAAAAAGCAATTGGAGGCATCAGTTTTAAAAAGCTCGAATTTTGGATCATCACAGATTGATCAGTCCAAATAATTATAAATCATCATCTGCCTCTTATTATATACCAAAACAAAAAATTGTAAAACAACAAATGTTATCAAAGAAATGAACTTTAAATTTAGGACTTGGTCAATAATAAATTATAAATATTGAATGTTTGAAAGAACCTATAGAAAAGGAACAGAAGAGAGGAATGAAATAGTTCAAACCCCTCAAACTAATTCATTAAAGAATCAATCTTTGATACTTTTCAGCTCAAAGATTTGCTTTCTATTACTATATGCCCCTGTCTGAACCGAATGACTTTTTCAGTAACTCAATCGGGAATTCTTGAGGCAAAAACAATCAATTCATATACCCTTTTGGATTTCATTAAGAAAAAAATGAAACATACACAAGATTTGAAGAGGGGATTAAACAGAGTGTTCAAAAGATGCTTACAGGACAATTGATGAAGAAGAACAAAGAGTCCCTTCAAAGATTGAATCTTTGCATCAAAAAGGTTTAGTCTCTGCCCCCTAACTAAGCCAAATATGAAATAGCTAAAATTTGTCCATATGGCTACTCAAAGAGGCATTTTGGTAACAACAATTATTAGTCCATAAAACATACTGCAAATTCCTTACATGCAGAAGAAAAGAAGAAGAGAGCAAAGTGAAACTAATACTGTGATATTGCTGCTGAATGGTAGGTACAATATGATGATTTAAGGAGGGGTTTTAGGGTTTCATCAGCGGAGCCTGGAGTATATAATTCACTTTTTTGTCCATAAAGTTTGGTCTTTGATGTGATATGGCCCCAAGAGTTTTGTCTCTGTCAATAATATATCCTCAAAGTCTCATATAGTACATGTAAGTATAACGAGTTAAACATAAGACATACAAACCTGTTATAGTATGATAACTTATAAAGACATTTGTCTCATATGCTCTAGTACATGTCAATATAGACATATACTGCGTTATTTAGAAATAAGACATACAACCTGATATAATTCAATAATTTGTAAAGAATTGTGGTTAGCAGTTTGTTCTTGCAATGGTTGTTGATGGTGTTTAGGCCTAATAATAATTGAGGGAGTTAATTTGTCATAGTTGTTAAGGAAATTTTCTCCACACCACTAGGTCTAGAGTTCAAAGGCTGATAGGCGGCCAAGCAAAATGATTTCAACTTGAATATTTGGAACTCTAAGGATTAAGTCGATACTTTTATCAACGCCGGCTGAAGGGTAAAGCAACCCAAGCAGTGGCTTTAGGCTCCTAAATTCTGGGAGCCCCATTTTCAATTGACAATATTTTATATAAAAAATTGATTATCTTAAAGTTAAAATTAAAAAAAAATAATTAATTTGTTATTGATATTGACCCTTGAGTTTGAATAATTTGAAGCATACACAAATATTTTTAATTTTTTGTTTAGTGGGTAAAAATTGAGATTACTAGTTGATAAAAACCAGGAAAAATATTGACTTAGCATTGATTAAAACATAATAGCCACTCTGGCATGATAGTTTAGACTTATTTTTCAAATTATATAACATTAAAGAAAATATTACAAGTAGAAGATAAAACTCTAATCGACTTACTTAATAAGATAACAAGACTTGATTTTTTTTCAATGTTTATATTCCTTATAGAATAAAATATACTATAACAATTGCATCGGGGAAAGAAGTTTTTTCAAATTAAAATTGATAAAATCTTGTATAGGATCAACAATGTCTCACGAGAAGCTAACTGGATTGGATTACCAGTATTATCAGTTGAAAAAAGGATTATTAGGTTAACTCGATTATTAGAAAATTATTAATAATTGTGCATCTAAAAAAAGTTAAAAAAAATGTACTTCAAATAAAAATATTTTATTTTTATTTATAAAAAAATTAAGGTCTCTCATTAAATTTTACTTTACGCAACCAACAATGCTGAGCCACCCCTGACTTTTATAAACACAAGGGTTATTTTGTGTTATTAAGTTCAGGTTTTGCACTTCAAAGAGACAATTCGAAATTTTTATTGTTCATTTTAGCAAATTCAAATTTGTGATTAGCATTCGTCATTTATGGGGTTTAAAGCATTTCGCCGTCCAAAATTATACATCGTGTCTCCAACACATAACATTGAAATAAAGAAAATAAAACCAATATAAAATAAAAGGAATTGATATAACTAATATACAAAAATAGAAGGAAGGACTTTTATCTTTAATTTATTCTAAAATTATAATTAAATAAATTTACAATATTGTAAGATTTTTCTTATTTGCCCCTTTCTCGTTCGTGGAAAGGACCACAATCAGAGCATTCAACTTGCACCTTCGTGATATTGTAAAAGAAAAAAAATCCTAAAGTTCCTAACCAAACAAACAAACAAAAAGAGAGCAAAAAAAAAAAAAAGAGAGCAAAAAAAAAAAAAAAGAGACAAAAAAGAGGCAATCCCACATACTTCGAGCTACTGCACCGACAAAATATGAGGCATACAAAGAATGAGATGTCCAAATTGCTTCCCAATCGTAGTTGCATTTTTTTTAAATAATTAATTTATGTGGAATAACAATGTAGAAAACTTTTTAGTGTAATCGTAAATTATCTGACTTATTTTTCAGACTAATGATTAATTTATTTACAGATAATTTTTTTTTACTCCTTTTAAGTAAAAAAATCTTAGAATTCGAATCATCTTTTTTCTCTTTTATAATGTCCACCACCAATTCTTGGCAAAGGTGCTAAACAACTATGGCTTCATGCACAAAGATTTTTGGGATAGTATTGATGTTCTTATAGCAATTTTCAGAAGAATTCAAATTCTTAAATTCAATTCAGTCACCAGCATCATTTTGTTATACTTAATTTAGGGTAACAGTCATCTCAACTCATAGTTGTGAGAAAAACTAATTTATGCATCGGAAATCAGAACCAGTTTCATTAATTTTAATTTACACCAGTTTCAATTTTGCTTTCTTTTGATTGAAAGGAAGAAAGTATTGAAGTGTATAAACATCTCATCTAAAAGCTTAAGTTATTAGAGAGAACATACTTTTATTTACTTAAATATGTCTTCAACATGCCCCTTACGTGCGGACTTGATTTTTGTATATATTAGGTGGCAGTGAGCTCGAACTCTACTTGCTCTACTACTACGTTGAAGTGTGTAACCATCTCATCTGAAAGTTAAATTATTAGAGAGCATTATTTACTTAATTATGTTTTCAACAGAAAGATAGGAGAAGAAGATAACATAAGATTATATGTGTAAGGTAACAATATCCCAATGAGTTAAACATGAAAAGCAATACAAAAAATATACAAATAGATGAAGCTCAACCTCTTCGTCTCAATGACCTAACGGACTCATATGAGAACACACCAAGAAACTAGACATCTTGGAACAGGAAGATTGAGTTGAAATTAAAATGCTAATAAAAACATAAAACTCTACACAAGTTACTTCTACGAAATAAAATCAAATATTTATTGGACGGACAAAGAGCTTTATATATACTCCATTAGTCGATGTCCATGCAAGCTAGCTCAATCAGAAGAGAAGCCCAAATGCAAGAGCTACAAGAGAAGCAAAGACGGTCGGTACAAATATGGAAGCATCCGCGGCAGGAGCAGGTGCAGGCGCATCCACAACAACTACATTATGAATACCGGACATGGCCACCAACACGACCATCAGAACCACCAAGAAAACATTCATCTTCATTGCTTCCATTGAAATATTGAAGAAATTAAACAAACTTTTGAGAAAAACGAAATCACAAACAAATTGTTGAAAGAAGAAAAGAATGCAAGAGTTTGAGGAGAACCGGACGACGAATAAGTGGATGTGGGGTTAAGTAGGGCTGCTTATCGGGCGGATTGGGCGGTTATTTACTCTTAACGGTTTGGCTTATCGGTTAACGGTTTTAAATGTATTAATCCGCTAGCCACCCGATAAGGTATCAGGAGGATTGATATCGGTTTAGCTCTTATCGGGCGGTTTATCGGCCTAGCAAAATTATCAATGATTCTAGATTTATAAAACTAAAAATAAGTACTAATTATCATTCGTCTCTCCCCGTACCAAATGCTAACGCCCATTCATCTCCTGCTCGCTGCTGTCCTAATTGCTTGGGAGCAAGAGGGAAATTAAAAGTGATCAACCACCACTTCAGCCTTGTAATAGAATGTAGTGCCTCCCCTAATTAATTCGGCTTTAATATATCTTCTTAATTATTTTTTGGTGCATGCGAGATTCTTGTAAGTTATCATTTACATATACACTACGGCGAATCATGCATAAGCACGCGGTCTGGATAGAATAGTTACAAAATGACGGTTGACTTTAATTTTATAAAGCGAGATGTCTGATAGCATAAATATAGTACGTAGTAGATTGTAGCTTTGCAATATTAAAGAAACATATAATGGTTTGACGTGGTGTTTTAAATTTAATATTCTCCCCGTTACCATTTTATATGCATTATTAAGAACATGACTTATTCAAGGGTTTTTGTTTTTTTATATTTAATATATATAAATAAAAATAAATTATATATATA